GTTATTCATACATAAAAATATAAAGCAGAATGTTTGTTTATTTATTATATGATACATTTTAATACAAGGATTGTCTGTATCAGAATTGAAATAACTCATATATTTTTAGAACAATGGAAAAATAGTTTTCTTTTTAATATATTATGTACTTTTATACATATTTATGTGAACAACTTTCAGTATTTATGTATTGCAAATTTACACTTGTAACTATGCCTACATGCTTTCACAAATTATATATAAAATATAACGTACAAAATTATACAACATTCTAAATGAAATAATATAATCTGAAAAGAACTTAATAAAGGTATTTTAACAACTTACCTCATTTTGCTGGATAGGGTTGCTATTTTCATCCGGTGAACTAAAACATTTAATAATTCATCTTATTACTTACAAATGCTAACACATAAATTTTATATATTTGTAATTGAATGAAGAACTTACATATGAGAATTATCTAAACTAGCAGCTGAGTTTTCCTGTGAACTATCATTTTCAGTTGTGTCATGTAGTGCTGTGATTGCAGAGGATCTAGTATCCACAATGTAGTTTATACCCAAAGTAGGATCAGAAACTAAAGAAACAGTTGTTGATCCACAATATATAATGTTTGCCTAAAAATATACATACACATATAACACGTATAAAATTAAATATTTCTTTAAAATTTTAGGTAATATTAATTAATATAATGATTAATACCTGCTCCAGTAAATCTTGAACCGTACAATCCTCATTTGGTATGTCAAACGTAATTAATCTCTGTTCACCATTAACAAATGTCACTAACATTTTCGCAGTATTGCCCTGTATTTGGTGCTGAACTATAGTATTCGTTGGATTATCGATAACTTGTTGAAGATAAGCGATACTTTCAGAAGAACTGTTTTCTGAATCAGTTTGTGACGAAAAATTTTGCTGGTTCGATTGTTCTACGACTAAGGAATCTGATGATTCAACATCCATACTTTGTACGTTTTGAGATGGAGATGTGATAGATGATTGTTCATATTGCGTTTTTTGTGTTAAAGCCGACTGTTTTTGGAATTGTGATTGTGTTGTCGTTTGTTGTCTTTGATGTGCTGCATTCACAACTGTATGTTGCCGCTGTGTATTTAATGAACCTTGTGCTAATTGTGATGTAGTGTTTGATAGTCGTTGCAGATTATTTCCTTGTAACCTTTGATCACTTTGCATTTGTTTTAATCTCGTTTGCTCCATCTTAGATTGTGGAGGTTTCAGAGAATTTTTTTGCATTAATGCGGGAGTTTGAGGTCTTATATGCACTGTACTCAAAGAATTATGTACTTGTGTTGAAAGTGGGGTCACATTTTGCCCAACAGCACTGATTGATTTATTACAAAATGATGGTATAGATGCTCTGATATTTGACACATTAGCGTTTTGTAGTTGAGGTCCAATATTACTTGTTACATTCACTCTATCAAGAGTAGATGAGGGTCCAGTTTGTATACTGTTTGTTGAATGACGATTTCTGTTTTGATATAGCCTAAGCGGTTTCCTTTTTATAATCCCAGTATTTAATGATGATAATTCACAATGTCCATGTAGAAGATTCTAAAAATACACATAATTCTTATTGAATATACAGTTACATAGTAATATACATATGCATGTGTGCTTATATGTCTACATATTTACTTGGGAGGAAGTATTATTTTGATTCTCATTTAAATTGGCAGTCTGAGTTTTGTCAGATATTAATGGATTCTGTTTAGAAACTGCATTTAGTGTAACATTATTTTCCTGCATTTTTATCCATTGTATTTGTTGCCCATCATTATTACAACCTACCAAAGCCTTAGAACCTATATAGAGTAACAATTGATTTATTAAATTATTTTCTAGCCACATTGATTTTTGTTATAAAATGAAACACTAATTTTTGTTGACTCGTCATTGCCAAGGTAATGTATTTAAAAAACTACAAAAAAATTTTTAAATCAATGATAATGAACCTATTTTTATTATTTTAATATACAAGCTAAATTGTCTAAAAGGATCAGTTTTAAAGAAAGTATTACTGTGTAC